GCTGAGCCAATCTCACTGAGAGATAGGTGTTTCCTGAGGCAACGGGGCTTCACTCTCTGAATTTTTACCAGCTAGGCTATTTCTATACCACGGACAACTTTGGTGTGTGTCCAGGTCTGCAGGAAGTATAGACTTTATCCTTGAGGTCAGCAAGGGTCTCTAGACCGACTCCTCAGCTTCAGGCTTTGCTATGATAACTTTGTCTCCTGACTTGAATGACTGTGAGTAGGATATGCAAGACCCATTACTTTTCTTTTTGAGATGGGGTATTCAGAATCCTAGCCTGTCTCAACTTAGTATGTAGTTGAGGAGACCTTGAACCTGATCACCCTATCTTCACTTCCCAAGTGACGGGATTTCAGGTGTGTGCCACCACACTCAGTCAGATTTATGTTGTTTGTTTTGAGACAAGGTCTTACTATGTTGCCTTGGCTGGCCTGGGACTGGCTATGTAGTCCTGGCTGACCTCAAATTCACAGAGATCAGCTGTGCATTACCACACTCAGAAGATTTTTTTTTTAAATAGAAAATATAGCTACATAGAGAACTACTATATTATTTTATTTACCAGGGAGAGCTGTAAAACATTCACCCACATCTTCTAAACTTTATATTTTCCATTAACATAACTATTGAACATTTTAAAAATGGGGCCAGAGAGATGGCTCAGTGGTTAAGATCACTAGCTGCTTTTCTAAGGGTCCAGCTCTATTCCCAGCACCCACATGGTAGTTCACAACCATCTGTACTGCCATTCCCAGGAGATCTGACTCCCTTTTGTGGCCTCCTTGGATACTGCACACATGTGGTACACGGACAAACATTCAGGCAAATACTCCTACACATAAAACAATAAATAAAATCTCAAACAATGTAATTGGGTTGTAAATAGCAGAAAATATCTTACAAGGCCAATTCTGCTCCGCTGGCTCTTAAATGGGAAACATCTAGACGTTAGTGTTACGCGGGGTGAATTCACTGAGGGTTTTCCACTGAGAATTGGAACTGAGAGAGATGTGTGCAGTGTTAGAAGTGGAAATGTCTCTCTTATGAGCCTTTGGAATACAGATCTTTCTCCTTTCCAATCATTTCCAGCCTGAAGCACTGACATGTCTAATTAATAATAATATTCTATTAAACAGTATGATTAATCTGAGAGATCATTATGCACAAGTAGATTAAAAAAGCACCCTAAATCCCTTTGGTCCGATTTAAGATAAGATAAACCTGAACTTCTTACCCAGAGCAGTTTTTCCCCTCCTGTGTGATGTAACTTGAGGGTACATTCTATTTCTGTGACTAGTTCGTGCATGTTCTTTATTGTCTGACAGTCTTAAAGGAGACTCGTGGATAAATAACGCCTATCTAGTTACCCCAATCTAAACTTGATTTTGTAATTTGGTGTATATCCCTTGCACCATTCCTGTGATTAGTATACTACAGGGCAGAGCTGCTAATTGTGGTATTTGACTAATAAGGAAAAAGAAATACCTTTGGGGGAAATTAGGCAGAGAAGGACCCCATGGGATATATCTCAGTGGGTCCCGAGGCTTGAGCCAGCCTGACTCCTGAGTGGGAGAAAGAGCTTCGATGGGGCTTCACAAGTTCAGCAATGAAAAACAACACAAGAACTCTGGCTTGGCCAAAGAGCCTCATTTCTAAGCCTGTGGGTATTTTTTTGTTTTTTGTTTTTTTTGTTTTTCGAGACAGGGTTTCTCTGTGTAGCTTTGTGCCTTTCCTGGAACTCACTTGGTAGTCCAGGCTGGCCTCGAACTCACAGAGATCCACCTGGCTCTGCCTCCCGAGTACTGGGATTAAAGGCGTGCACCACCACCGCCCGGCTGCCTGTGGGTATTTTAAGAGTTGCTGTTCCTTGGATTTTTTTTTTCATTTACAGGTAGCAATATTTTTGGTAAGCTTTTCCACTGCTAGGTGCTGGAGGCAAAAATCTAGGTTGGGGTGGGGGACATGGCGCCATGGGCAAAGTGCTTGCCATTCAAGGGTAAAGACGTGTTTGAACCTTCAGAACCATGGGGAGCTAGATTCTGTGACACGTATCTGCAGTTCCAGCACGTCTGCAGTGAGATGGGTGGAGACAGAGAATGCCCCGAGCTTATGGGCCAGACAGCTTGGTAGACATGGTAGAATGAAAGCGGGGGACCCTTCCTTACGGTGGAAGGTTAAGGCTGACACTAGAAGCTTCCCCTGTCCACCGTGTGTACTCTGTTGGACACACGCTTGCACACATATGGACACGCACATACATACAATATATCACACACACACAGATATTAAAAAAAATTCTAGATTGGGCATCTTCTTGGCTTCAGTTCCCAGCATTGCCACCCATGTGAGGCTTTAAACAGAGAAGCCAATGCCTAGAGGTACAGAGTCATCTCTAAAGTGAGTTCATTGAGTTCCTAGCAGAGGTGCCCCTGGGAGAGAGAAGTCAGATGTGCTGATCCCAGTGGGGCCCTGTGTCTCTGGAAAATCTCATTTCCAACTTGACAAACAGTAGGAAAGTTGAGGCTGTAAACCTGGTTCCAGTAACTAAAAGTAAATGATGAGCTGGGTGTTGGGGACCATGCCTGAAGTCCTAGTACTTGGGAGACTGAGGCAGGAGGATGGAAGGTTTAAGGTTAGCCTGTGCTGCATAGCAAGATCTTGTCTCAAAATCAAAAAAGAACCAACAGAAAATCCATGATAAATGTAAAGCCTTTTGCTCTATGCCTGGACCTCGGGTTGTTAAAAGTCAGCAGTTACCTCTGTGATTGAAAACCGATCAGCTTCCAGGCAATGTCTGAGTTGTTTTTCGGGATTATTTTGTCTTTTATTGAATTGTACAAATGGTACAAAGAGTTATTCATGAGCCAAACATCAGAGCCAGATGATACTTACCTAAGTCATAACACTAGAACATATATAATAGTTAAGGTTCACATATCATGCTAAAAATTTAGTTTATGGCCAGGCTGTGGTGGCACACACTTTTAATCCCAGCACTCAGGAGGCAGAGACAGGCAGATCTCTGTGAGTTCAAGGCCAGCTTGGTCTACAGAGGGAATTCCAGGACAACCAGGGCTACACAGAGAAACCCTATCTTGAAACACGGCCCCCCCAATTATGGTTAGTATTGATTATAACAATTTAAAAATGTATTTTATGTTAAATAAATTTATTGTGAGGTAGCTGAAGTGAAGAAGATGCCCAATCTGGCTGACTTGCTCAACCTGACCTCCTGCCTCAGTTCTTCAGAGCTGGGGTTACAGGTGTGTGCCACCATGCCTACATTACTGGTTCTTCTGTGTCTTCAGCTGCACTGTGAATTGAAATCACTCACTTGGCCAGTGTCTTCAGCGGGCAGAAAGCTGACTTCCTCTTTCCTGCTGAATCAGGCCACCTTTCTTTCTAAATGTCCTCAGTGGTTCCTAATCTGTAATTTTTTTAAACCTCTTTATCTGTAAGTGTAGACAGAGAACCTCATGTTTATCTGTCACTAAAGTGTGTAAGCCTTTGACGAAAATGCTTATTTATATGTTTACTCTTTGGCTAAACTCCAGCGGTAAACAAGCTGTCTACCAGTGTTCTACACCCGTGGACTGAAGTGGCTTTCATACAAATGTATATGGCTAGACTCACTCTTGGTTTAAAGAGTCCTAAGCTATGACATAAATACTTCCTGTGGTCTCATACCTGGGCAATCCCTCCACCGAGACTCTTTTCTCAGGTGACTCTAGGCTGGGACAAGTTGACACTAGGACACTGGTGCTGACTCTTTCCTTCTTACTCAGTCTAGGACCCCAGCCCATGTGGTAGTACCTGTCACATTCAGTGTGGCTCTCTGTTAACTGGTCTAGAACCTCCCTTATAGACATATGCAGAGGTTGTCCTCCACAGCGGCTCTGTATCCCTAGGTGACGATCAAGATCGACTGCCACAGGGAGGTTGGCAGGAACTTTCCAAGACTCGTTCATTTGGAAACCTCTTCTGTTGCTCCTCAGGGGCACTGAGATCATCTGTATCTGGTCTCAGAGTCTGGGAATTTGTATGAGAGACTGAATTTTACTTCTGGGATGCTTTTCTGCAAGTCTGAGAAATTGAGATAAATGAATTGTTTTCAAGGAGTTGAGAAGCAGCTCCGGACGGACAGGATAATCATGGTGTAACAAAGCTTGTATTATTGAAGCTGGGGTTTGCTACTACAATTATACTGTGTCTGCAGTAAGTGATTACAGTAACAGCCCCCAGTGAATCTTGCCTTTCCTTGCCCACACCCCTTAATGTGTGACTTATGTGTTCACATATGATGTAGGAAGAACTCTTGACTTTGGGCTGGCTCTGAGACTTGGTTTGCCTAGCAGCTAAGGAAGACACTTGCTGTTGTTCTCTGGTCTCTACACCCATGTGTGTACACCCAGAAGAACATGTGCTCCACCAGACCCTGCAACTATTTCTTGTTATATTTAAAACAAGATCTGAACTTCTTACCTGGGTTGTAAATAAACCCTGTGATATATTTTTTAATAACTTATTTATTTTTATTTTATGTGCATTGGTGTCTTGCCTGCATGTATGTCTCTGTGAGGGTGTTGGGTTGCCTGGAACTGGGGTTACAGATGGTTGTGAGCTGCCATGTGGGTGGTGGGAATTGAACTGGGGTCCTCTGGAAGAGCAGTCAATGCTCTTAGATGTTGAACCATCTCTCTAGCACCTAAACCCTGTGATATTAACAACCAAATTTCGTCAGGCGGTAGTGGCACATGCCTTTAATCCCAGCACTTGGGAGGCAGAGCCAGGCTGATCTCTGTGAGTTCGAGGCCAGCCTGGTCTACAGAGTGAGATCCAGGACAGGTGCCAAAACTACATAGAAAAACCTTGTCTCACCCCTCTCCCCCAAAAAAACCCCAAAACAAAAACAAGAACAAAAAACAACCAGATTTCAGTATGAGTTTTGGAAGGGGACAAGCCCCTGCCTGGCTCACTTGCCTTTCCTGGCTCACCTTCATCGCCATCCATAGCCACCTTGGTCTTCTTGGTGTCCTGCACACTAGCTTTGCTCCGTCCTCCAAGGTTTTGCACTTGCTCTTCCTTGTGGAACACACTTCCTCAGATCTTTGAGTGGGGTTTTCCTCTTAGCCTTCAGAGACTTTAGAAGCATCTTCCATGGTCTCCCACAGACAGCAGGCTGCCCACCATCAGTTATTTCTTAGCACATCTGTTTTATGAACTCCTCCTCCTCCTCCTCCTCCTCCTCCTCCTCTTCTCCTCTTCTCCCCACCCCCACTACTGTTTTGGGTGGCTGTCACAGAATACTGGAGACAGGGGCGTTTGTGAAGGAAAGGTTTATGTAGCTCTTGGCTCTGAGGAGGAGTTCAGGCCTGGGAAGCTGGGTCTGGCAAGGTCCTCATGCTGTTAGAAAATGACAGATGACACATGGTGTGTAAGAATGGCCAGTGAGCGTGTGCAGAAGAGGGACAGAGACAGAGGCAACGATTCACTTCATCACAGTCGATCCAGAACGGTAAGGACTAATCCAGTCTCAAGAGAAGAACATTAACCTCTCTTAATGGTCCTGCTCCCCGACCCTGCTCCGTGGCAATCGAATCTCGAGGAGTCTTGATGGAGACGAACCACATCCGGGCAGTAACTCTGGCTTCCGGTTTCCTTTTGTGTTCAGTGACTTGGCTGCCCGGTTCATTCACTGCAATGCCTTCATCAGGTACGAAGGGGTAAATGTGGTAAATGTTGGGAATCTCCAGCTCGGGCCCCATTCCAAACCCCGCCCAGATGTTCTGCTGGGAACTCGCCCCACACCTCCCAATCCAAACCCCTCCCTCAGAAAGCACGCCAAGTGGTGGCTCCTCCTCTGGAGCTCTCAAGACCCCTTGGACAGGGTATTTAAGGTCTGGTCCGTAGACCTTCCACATAGTTTCTCCTCTTCCCCTGAGATCACCCGGGGATGCTTGGCTCATTAAATCTGGACTTTTAATTCAGTCTGACTTGGCTGCTTGCATTGGTGGAGTTACCCGCTACTGGGGGATTTAAAAAATATTCATCAGTAACAACCTCGATTAGAAGCATGTGTTCATCCTCCACCCTCTCACGCTTCCTTCCTATAACCACTGACCAAATCCTATAGATTCTATACGTCGGTCTTTCAAAGGTGGCCCTTCCTTTGGCATCTGCTAACACTGGGTTGGTTTCACCAGCTCTTAGCCAAGAGCCAGCCTGTGGTTAGAGGCTTGGGAATCGGCTAGGTTTCCCTTTCTTCATGGCACTGTGATCCTCCAAACCTACTTTTGCTAAAGGGTCTCCAGGCTCATCTCACGCCCTGTGTTTAATTAAATCCTTCTCTCCTATCATAACCCTGGGGGCAGGGGCTACTCATTCATATTTGTTATTTAGCATGTGCCTGGCATGGAGTAAATATCCAGTGAATGCTCAAAAGAAGAGAATGAGCTGGGCAGTGGTGGTGCACGCCTTTAATCTCAGCGCTCAGGAGGCAGAGGCAGGCGGGTCTCTGAGTTTGAGTCCAGTCTGGTCTCCAGAGTGACAGACAGCCAAGGCTACACAGAGAAACTCTGTCTCAAAGGAAACAATAACAACAACAACAACAAAAACAAAAAACCCAAAGAAGAGAATGAATGGATTCACATGACACACGTCAGGCTAAATAGTGCCGTATAAACATAGCTACCAAGCCAAGCCTAAATAGATGATCTCTGTCAAGGCTCAGGGACCATGGAGGAAGAGGGGACAGAAAGAATGTAAGAGTAGGAAAACAGGGAGGAGAGCTGTGAAATGTTGTCTGGACCCGGCCTGGCTGTTGCCCAGCAGCTGTGGTTAACCGCAGAAGGTCAAGCCAGCCAGTGTTCCAGCATGGATGGGGAGGCCTTTAAAAGGCCCCCTCCCTAGTGGGAGTGGAGATTACAAAATACATCACATTTGTGCACAAAATTCCCCAAGAATGAAAAAAAATAGCGACCAAACCCACAACCTCAAATTTAGTAGGCTAAGCCACTGCTCCTGCTAAAGTCTAGACATAGCTTGTGATGTCTAAATTGTGCATTTCAAGGCAGCTCGTTACAGGCAAGCTTCGAAGAACAGTGATGGAGGAAATTGTTTTTGAGGCAGCCATGCTTTTTATTCCAATGTCTTTAGCATTGGCATTTAATTTTTTGAGGTAATTACCTAAAAAAAAGAAAGAAAGAAATTTACAATCCTAAATTTCAAAAAAATCTCTTCGGACAGTATTTCAAGTCTATAGTTCCGATCATGTTTTGAACTCATAGCAATCCTCCTGCCTCAGTCTCTAGAGTGTGGAGATTATAGGAGTAAATCACCACACCTGACCACACCCTTCTTGCAAAGCAAATGGCTTAGGGCAACGATCTCCAGATCCCAGAGTATTAAAACATCTACCTTTTGTGTCTTTTCCTGTCTATAAAATACATCGCTATGTCTTAAGCAATTTCAGAAGACTATTATTAATAAAGCTATTCACATACGGTAATGCTCTGGTCTAACGCTGCAAGATTTGAGTTTTGTTCTTATTTTTGTTCCATTACTCCATGGGCAGCCTTTGTGTCTCTAAATATTGGAATCAGAATGTCTGTGTCCACGTTAGTTAGTGAAAGAGAGGAAGCCTTAACTTTTTTAGAGTCTTTCCAGACAGTGACTATATGATACATTTTTGCATGTAATTTTTTATCTGCTTCCATCAAGTGTAACAATATGTTGAATTTGCCAGGGGCCTTTAAAGCTTGGATGCTGAGAAGGACTCAGCATGAAATTTTAAAGAGACTGGACCTTTCATCTGTTTCAGCAGCAGGGTACCTCACTATGGGGACAAGGAAGGAGGAGAGAGCGCCAGAGAGCATATTTCTAAAGCAACAGCAAAAAATAACAGCTGAGGCAGTTATTTCATCAAAGGTAGATTCCTCTCTCTCTCTCTCTCTCTCTCTCTCTCTCTCTCTCTCTCTCTCTCTCTCTCTCTCACTCACACACACACAAACACACACACACACACACATATCTCTAAAATTTTTCACATGCTTTAGCTGGAGATTATTTACCCCATTGCCTGCATCTCCTGGCATATGTTAAGTTTTCAGGCTTCATGTGGTCAAAGTGAGGGAAAATTCATAAATGAAAATATTCATTTTAGAAGGTACTGTTACTGGTAATCACATTTAAATGTACTGGCAAAGGAATGCGGTGAATAACTAAACCTGGCATTCCCTGGAGTCCCGAGTCTGTTTATCTGCTTGAGGATGTGCCTGATGCAGATGTTTTCTTCCCGGTTTTGTGTCCTCTTTCCTCTCATGGACGTTGGTATAAATTTTGACTGGTGAGGGTGGGGCAGTGCAAGAAGACACCTCCGTGTCTGGGGTTAATTCTGACACCCTGTCTCTTTATCTGGATCCTCTTTGGCATGGAGTCCCTTTGTATCGCTGGGTGTGGTGTGGACATGACTCTCCTGGAAGTGGCAAGGAAACCACAGATGGGAGGCCATCTCCTTTTTCTCTGACCCTGAGCTGACATCAGTATGAAATGCTCAGAGTTCTCCGTGGCTGGTATAGAAATCTGTCATTTGCTGGGCAGCGGTGCCGCACACCACCCCAGCACTTGGGAGGCAGAAGCAGGTGAATCTTTGTGAGTTCAAGGCCAGCCTGGTCTACAGATCAAGTTCCAGGACAGTCAGGACTGTTACACAGGGTTTCTGTCTCAAAAAACAAAGACAAAACAAAAACAAAAGCAAAACAAAAAAGAAATCTGTTACTCAAGTGAAACTCCAGAGATCTGTGTCTTTGGAGTTGGGAGATCCATGTCCATTGTTTGTTAGCCTTGGTATTTTCTTCCTTTATCATTTTTTGACTTTATTGCCTTGGATCATTCACTCTAAACTCTTAGTTTTCCATTTTTTATTCTCTAGGGTGTTGAGGAGAATTCAGCATTTGCTTTGATATTGAGGACTGGCTTCAGATTAAACCCCTTTCTCTCATAGTTTCTGGCTCTGTAACAAATGACTACACATTTGATAGCCTCCATGAACACACATTTATTATCTCAAGGTCTGGAGGCAAGGATGCAAAATAAGCCCTTGGGGTTAAAGGAGTGTGTTCCTTCTGGAGCTCAGGGGTGGGGTGGATCTGTTCCTCATCTTGACCAGTTGATAGTAGCAGCCTTCATTCCTTGGCTCACTCTCCATCTTGCACATGTGTCCCTCTGTGTCTTTTTTGACCTCTGTACCATCTTTCCAGAGATCCTCAGTCACAGATGCCAAGTCCCTATTACCATATAAAGTAATGTACCCAGAAGTTCTGGGAACTAGGGTATGGACATCTTTGGGGCATGCTCTTCACCCTAGCACCCCCTTCAATGTCCTATTAGACAACAAGCTCTGCACGTCTCATGTACTTTTGCTCTGTTCATGGATGTGCAGATCATTCCAGGCCTGAATGGCAAGAACAATGGGCTTCTTAGATGCGCAGCAGATAGAACCTGACATCTGAGCCAAACGATCTCATGAGAGTTCAAACGACGATCAACTTCAGGAGAGAAAATGTCTTATACAGTGGCTTCCTGAGTATTTGGGACCATTTTGTGTTCTCTTTCTGTCTCTCTCTCTCTCTCTGTATCACGGCACATGTGTGGAGATCAGAGGACAGCCTCAGGTACTGGTCCTTCTCTTCTACCTTGTTTTGAGTTTGATTCCAGTCCTCTGGAAGAACAGGAAGTGCTCTTAGCTGTTGAGCCATCTCTCCAGCCTCAGTAGCTTCTAATCTAAAGAGATGTTTCAGCATTTCCAGAAATCTTATATCCCCTTTGTATTCATAGTAATGCTTACAAGACTTCCTTCTATTTAAGGTTATAGTTAGGGGTGAAGATTTTAATTATGAGGCCTCCTTATGGCTATAAACTAGACTCTTAATTAAGAGGCTAAAGCTACGCCAGAGAAAATGACTGAACACCTCACACCAGCTGTCTGAGTCAGCTGTAACCACAAATATCTGCAGTTACTTTCCAAAGAAAAGATTTTTTTCGCACGTGTGCGTGCATGTGCGTGTGCGTGTGCCATGTGTACATGTACCTACAGAAGTCAGAAGAGGGTATCAGATCGCCTGGAACAGGAATTTCAGGCAGCATTGAGCTGCCTGACACAGGTGTTGGGGACTGGGCTCTGGAAGAGCAGCAAGTGCTCTTAACCACTGAGTATCTACCTCTTCAGTCCCGTTCCAGAGGAGTTTAAGGCTCTCGAAATAGTCCTTACGCAGATGAACAGAGCACTGGGCAGTTCTTCGTCTGCCTCACTGGTGTCCGAAGGCATTCTTGTTTAAAGCAACATGGAGGTAGCATTACAACAGGTAACTGCTGACTTGGTTATCCCAGGCAGTCTCTCATCTCTCTCCTCTCACCCACGTCGTGGGGATTTTCAAGTTTAACCTCTGCGTTGACCTTCTTGATCCAGATTCCAGGAGAATGCTCTTCCGAGGTCCTGAGAAGCCAAACCCAAGGCCACCAGTACAGCTTGCTTACGGCTCCAAATTGCCGTTTTTTTTTTTTTTGGCCGGAGAGGAAGTCATGCTTCCAGGGTTCCCCACTCAAGTACAAGTTCACACCTGTGTGTAGCACCTGTGTGAGCCACTCTGCTCATTCCAGCTGGGATATGCTGAAGACTTCCTCTGAGAACTTCCAGTCCCTTCTTTGGCTCTGTGGCTGAAGTCATCTTTGTTTCCTGCTCCTGTTACCCAGGTCTGCACAATGGAAACAAAAATAACAACATAGATGCATCCTTGGAGAACACAGACGTGCACATGCACACAGTCGTCTCCACT